TAAAAGGATTAGCTGAAAAATAACAATTATATTGAGTAAAAAAAACTGAAATTACAATGATTTTTTAATTTCAGTTTTTTTCTCAATATAATTGTTATTTTTCAAATTAATCCTTTTAATGAGAGTAGGTATTGGTGTATGATTCGATTTGGACTTTTATAAATCTGCTGCATTCATTTTCATTCTCATGTGATATAAGTAATATGTTGTTGTAATTTACAAGTAATATAGCTACGAGAGTTCTATGACAATACTTATAGAAAAACACGTGTAAATTTGAGCAGGTCCATTCTGGCGTTTTTTCGACCTCAGGCCCAATTCACACGGAAATGACAAAAGTCCGCTCCTCGACTCTGCCAGACGTCCATTCTGTGTGGATTGGGCCGTAAACTTCTTCACTTTTGCCTATTCTCACCTTTCATCATCCCGAGAACTTTCTCATTCACCAAAGGAACATTTAATTGATTGTTGGAAGGATAATCCGAAGTATCGAAGAATTTCTAACAATTTCGACGTATGATTTCATAAGGATTGCGGTTGCATAATTCATAAATCAGACTATCTTAGACTTAGCAATTACTACCATATACAATTTTCATTATGGTTATATGCGCCATCGATTCGGAGATAATTGTGTTATTCTCTACACCGACACAGATAGCCTGATTTATGAAATATGTAATCAGGATCCTTATGAAATCATTTGTCAAGATTGTTACAAATTCTTCGGTGCTTCCTTTGGTGAATAAGAAAGTTCTCGGGATGATGAAAGATGAGAATCGACAAAACGAGGCTCTAAAATAAGGCCCAATTCATACAGAATGGATATCTGGCAGAGACGAGGCGCGGACCTTTGTCATTTCCGTGTGAACTGGACCTGATGTCTAAAAAACACGTGTTTTTTCCATAAGGATTGTCATAGAACTCTCCTAGCTATATTACTTTTATACTTTCTTTAGAAATAACTGCTCCTCAGGGGGATACGAACGTATCAGAATATAAAATCTATTCATCAATTGTTCTGAAAACAAAAATATATACGTTGCAAGATTTAACAACACGTTATTTCCATTAAATTTCGTTAAACTCAAATTGAATCCTGTTAAGCACTCGCAACACAATTTGCGCCTGAACATGGAACATTATAACTCGTCGTTCTATTTTCACAAAGTTATGCGTTAATTGACGCAAAATTCGTTTATGAATCTTTTATTACATCAATTTTTCCGGAAACAATTTATCTAAATGAGTACATTTTACTTTATTACGACTACCTACATCGTCGGAAATGTTATACTCAGATATTATTTGAGAGTGTTTCGAAAATGTTGTAGTCATGAGATATTCTCGATGAAGTTGGATGTACTTTTGTTTCCATTAGGTATGTTATTTGACTTGTTATTATGAATGAAAACTCGAGAAAGGTTGTTCAAGATCACAAATATTTCATTGAAAAACAAAATAGTGTTTTGTGTTTTTGTGCAGAAATATGTTTTTCGTGATTTTGTTTACAACTGATTCTTCTTGCTTATAGGTATATGACTTATGGCTTTACGATGTTTGAATATTTTGTAGACAAGAACTACTTTTTATTTTTGAAATGTTCTGTTAAATTTGAAATTGTTGGATAACAATATCATCCAATTAGAAGACGTTATGTTTTCTGATGAGTGTACTTTATCGGTCATGCTAATCGGCAAAATTGCCGCTACTGGTCAACCCTCAAAAGGTTAATGTTTGGGCAGGGATTGTAGGAAACCATATCATTGGTCCCTTTTTCATTGAGGGCAACTTGAATGGCGATAATTATTTGGCACTACTTCAAAATGATCTCATTCCAAGTTTAGCAAATTTATATCCTGATCCAGAAAACCCTCAAAATCCAGTGAATACGATATGGTTTCAGAAGGATGGAGCACCACCACATTATCAAGTTAATGTCCAGCAATACCTCGATAAAACATTTCCCATTCGGTGGATCGGGAGGCGAGGATCGATTGAATGGCCAGCGCGATCACCTGATCTTTCATCATTAGATTTTTTTCATGGGAATATATAAAGAGCAATGTGTACAAAACTGAACCTTCAGATTTGAATATCTTGAAAGAACGAATAACGCTTGCGATTAGGTCGGTCACCCTCCTGATATGTTAAATAATATTAGAAGACAGTTTTATTTGAGATTAGGATATTGCCAAGACGTTCGCGGTGAACATTTTGAACATTTACCTCGTTCACATCTGTAGTTCTTTTTCGTATTCTACATTTCATTACGTTTTGCATTACATTTATTTTTTGAGTGTATTTTATAGAATTTCGGTAACCACATGATTTTAATTTATTTTATTTCAATTGTTGCAATAAACTTGAAAGTGATAACATTTTTGAATAGAGAATAAAGAGACCTCTCAAACGATATATCACTAATCTATACCATTTGAAAAAATTGGGGGTTATACCTGTCATTCGAAGGGGGTTAAAGGTAGAGGTGGCATTTTTACGTTGAAGAACGTCAAATTATAATTCATATTTGACGTGTTTCGGGATTTTGTTAAAACGTGTACAGTAACCGAAATAATGAATTTATTCCATTTGGCTTTTCAATACTGTATGTGGCCCGTATCGCCTTTTTTCATAATCATAATTTAATGGCCTGAATACCTTATACATCAGCAGAATATTCATTTTATTTCATTTTCAGATTATTTCGGTTCAAAAAGAAGATACATTTTTAATAGTCGGGTCATGAAAATGGTTCTGAAAAATGGTTCGCAAACTAAGTGCTTGTGGCTTGTGTTGTGCTTTTCATTTGCCTCTTCACGGAGCACTTTTAATAATAATTGGCACAGTACAACATGTGAATTATTTCATTAAAGATGTGAAAACGGAAAGAAAAACGAAAAATCAAAAATTGATTAATAGACAACATGAGAAGCAGAGAAAATTGGTGAGATAAATTGTTATGTTTTGAATAGTAGGTTATTTCATTAACATGGATACGTAATGCGATCAGACAATATAATATAGTAAGATGATGAGATGATAGAACCATTTAGGTATCTCATAAAATTAGTTCTGAGAATTAAACTTATAGTGATGCGTTTTTCAGTAGAGTCATAATGAGTGTATCGTTTGTAGTGATACATTTTTCGATATTTGTTTCATACATTTTGAAGTTTGAAATATCTCTTGTTTCTTTTGGTAGTATATTATACAATTTCGGTGCAAAATAATATATCGTTCTTTGTGTATGGCATTTCTTAAATCGGGGTAGTGATAAATTTTGTGCGTTTCTAGTATTTTTTTATCACGCCGGTACTCCAGTTTGATTTATTAGAAAATATCCAAACTTTTATTTTATTGGTAATAACATCTTTGATCCACGGCCCTGTTGAATGTTTCGAGTTGGTAACTAAACCGACCGTACTTAAACCAAAACAAAAAGTAACTACGTTATATCTGGAAATTAATAAACCTACGGGTAAACGTAATAAAATACATCTTATATTATACATTTTATATGTTAATTGCCTGAGTATTTTGATCATATGCGAAACGTGTTCATCTCATCTCTTGTGCTGGTTCAAAACCAGTCCGAGATATTTAAACTTTCTATGTTTTTTACCACTCTTATTTGTAACTAACGTCACTGCAGTTTCGTCCTACTCGTATAAGGACATTTTCAAACTTATACATCAATGTAACACGTAGGGAGCGGATCGAGTAAGGTCGATCAACTTCCGAACACTTAACAGAAATCGTCAGATGATGACAAATGAGAGTTTGTCGAAACGTCGTGTGATTGAGGATAATAGCACAGTAGGCGGAT